GGCTGAACACGGTTCAAGTCCCGGACATGGCGGCTTGCTTTTTTCAATCCCCCCTCCTTTTCAATTAAAATCTTGCACTCTTTTCAATTAAAATGATGATGATGATTATGATAAATAAATTTTTTTTTTAATTTTTAAAAAAGGAAACCACAGCCCCAGTGCCAAGGGGCAGGTGTGGAACATGCCGGCCGCCCTGCAGTGCACACCGGGGCGTGCGACAAACACACAGAACAACAATGGCAGCCACTGGGCAGGAAGAGGCTGGGGGTGAGCAGGCAACAGTGGGGCTCAGGCGCCGAGTGGGAGCAGCAGGGGCAGGGTGCCGGCCGGGGCTGGGGCTGCTCCTTTGGGTTCCTCAGTAGAGTGTGGAGACATCGGTGAGGCCAAGCTTGTAGGGCGTGGGCTTGGGGAAAGGGGCCGAGACCCTCTGGGCTGTGGCGGGAGAGGGGAATCTCTGAGAGGCGCAGCTGGGTGGTCTGGAAAGACAGGACTCACCACCTGAAGGGCAGAAAGTGCCTGCAACCTCCCAGGAGCTGCGTGGAGGGTGGGGCCATGTCTCCGCTTACACCTGCACCGCCCCAGCTCCTTGGTGGCCAGAGTGGCCAGAGCAACCAGGTACATGCGGCCTTAGCCAACGAGATGGAGGCTCAAGTGGCTGAAGTGACACCTGAGAATGCTCTTGGGGGAGGGCGGGAGAGAGAATAATCAGCCACCATACAGGTCTCTTGCCCTTTCTCCTGCCCGTCATCCTGGGAACTCAGATGTGATGGCAAAGGCCGTGCAGCCATCTTGCAACCATGAGACAAGGAGGCTCAGGGCAGGAGTCACAGGGGCCTGGAAGCACCGAGCACACCCACGCCCACACTCGGGCTGGGGTGTCTTCCACCGCCCACTAAGAGCCAGCGGGGCTCCTTGCAGGAATGGCTGACTCCAGGGCCGGGGGCGTCTCCTGGTACTAGAAAGCAGGAGGTGCTCGGAACCACCACGACGATGGGGACGTGTCAAAGGGACAGAGAGGCTGACGGACGCCGGGAGGACGAGAACCACACACGGCACCGGCACGGCACAGGCCCAGAGCGTGCACTCGTCACCGGGAGGCCTCAGCGACACGGGAGACTGAGCGAGCTAGTCAACCAGCGTGGGCTGCCCAGCTGGGAAGGCGGGACCCCACAGGACGACGCGGCCCACGCCCAGCCCCGGCCGCCGCGCACAGGCTGGGCATTCGCACACGTGCCCGGGATCGGACGGGCTGAGGGCTAGTGGGTCTGCACCGCAGCCGGACACGATGGAAGAAACACGAGAACCAGGCAAGAGGACGTAAGTCTTCCAGGGAGAGAAATCGAGGTAACCCCTGCTGGGGGGTGAACGCCTCGTATGGGGGCTGTGCTGAGCGAGTCCCCTGAGAGCACCCGGGAGAGAAAGCTTCACAGCAGAGACGCTGGACAGCTGTGACCTCAGCCAGGGCGCAAGGGCAACTTCAGCAGCAACAAGGCATTCTGACAGGAGTAGGGTCTTGGGGCCGCCAGGGGGCGTGGTGCTTCAGGGCGCTGGACTCCCACATGGCCGACTGGTTTGAGTCCTGGACCTGGCAGCTTGCTTGCTTGCTCTCTCTCTCTCTCTCTCTCTCTATCCCTCTCTGGTCAAATTAAAATAAAGAGACAGAGAAAACAAAGTACAACTGGACAATTCTTTTAAAAAAGAATATTTTTTTAAGAAAGGACTTGGATCTGACACAAACGACTGCGGTTTGAAATGCAGTCGGGGGTGGGGGGAGAATAAATACAAGCGAGGGGCCAGCAGGTGGCACCGTTGTCGGGGCACTGGACACAGTGGACCACAGTTGGAGTCCCAGACTGGTGGCTTGCTTACATCCTCCACCCCCGTCTCTGGTCAATTAAAAAATAGTAAGAAATAAAATTAAATAAAAATACGTTTTAAAGAATCATTTACTTCGATTTATTATTATTATTGTTTTCATTTGACCAGAGACAGAGACAGAGAGAAAGGGAAAGGGAAAGTGAGACAGCAAGCCGCCAGGTCTGGGATCTGAACCACGGTCGGCCACATGGGAATCCAGCTCCCCATCCACCATGTAACCTGCCGGTCCCTAAAAATAATTTTTTAAAAGAATTATTTTTATTTAACTTAATTTTATTTATTCAGTTTGTTTATAATTTGACCAGAGAGACAGAGCGAGAATGAGAGAGAGGGAAAGTGAGAAAGCAAGCCGCCAGGTCGGGGACTGGAGCCATGGTCAGCCATGTGGGAGTCCAGCACCCTTAACCACCACGCCCCCGTGTGGTCACCACGTGCCAGCCGTGTACAGATACGTGCCCAGAGTCCCCTAAGGATGCAGAAACGGGGGGTTCTGCAGCATGACCAGGCCCCACTGCGGGTGCTTTCTCCCTCTCTGGCCATCAGAAGAAATAAAAAGTGAAAGGGAAAATAAGTAAAAGAGCCAGCCGCGGGGTCCGGCCGGGTACAGTGCCGAGCGGCCGGGCACTTACGAGAGCGGCACGATGATGAGGAAGGGGCCGTTGATGCGCTTGTGCTCCATGAGGTACGTGATGAGCGCGATGGTCTGGATGGTCTTGCCCAGGCCCATCTCGTCGGCCAGGATGCCATTCAGGTTGTTGTTGTACAGCGACACCAGCCACTCCAGGCCTTTGATCTGCGGGGACAGAGCGGCCACGCCAGAGCTCAGTCCCCGCTCGGGCTCCAGGCCCTCCTGGGTGCTTCGGACACTCGAGCAGCCCCAGGCAGGCGTCCGCCGTGGCAGCCTGAGCTGGTCAGCGCCTGGGCTCGGCATCACCTCTCCTTACCTTTTAAAACAATGACTGAAGTAACGCTGTTTGTTATTAGTTTTTAATTTGGCAAGAACGAGACAGAGAGTGAAAAGGAAAGGAAGAAAGCAAGCTGCCAGGTCCGGGACTCGATCAACGGTCGGTCATGTAGGAGCCCAGCACCTTACCCACCAGGCCACCTGCCGGCCCCTCTTTTTAATTTTTCTATTCTCCTTTTTTTCCCTTAAAAAAGTATCCATTTCATTCTACTCATCATTACCCTCATTTTAAAATTTGTTACAAGGCACATATGCTCCCCAGAGACAGAGAGAGACAGAGAGACAGAAGGGAAGGGAGAAGTCGAGCCAGCAGGCCCAGGACCCGAATCGGTGAGCCCTGTGGGAGTCCTGGGCCTCAGCTACCACCCACTGGCCCTGACACCGTAGCTTGGGCTTAGACTTTCTGCCACAGAACACGTGTGCTCACCAGAGAGGGGGACGTGAGAAATCACACCACAGGTAGGGGGTGGCTACACCAGGATCCCCTCTCCCAGTCTCCCCTGGGCAGACACATGCCTGGGATCAGTGTGCTTCTCGGGCCATCAGGCCCAGGACACGAACTGTACAGCAGCCCGGGGATCCAGGGCCTCGACCACCACACCACCTGCTGGCCCCCACGTCCTCGTCTTGACCAGTAACTTCTGTGAGGCCACTGAGAGGCTGAGCTAGCCATACGCATATGGTTAGCTGTCCCTTATCCCTTTCCGCGGGCTCAATGACCTGTGGTCAACAGTGGTCTGAAAATCGACAACAGGGAACATGACTTCCCCTGCAC